ATCTCATAAAAAGGAAATTGAAAGGAACAGTCAGGGGTCAGATCTCTTGAAAAGGCTTGGAGGTTACTGAAAACCTTAATAGTAGAAGTTCAGTTAGAATGTAGACTACAGAACAGGAAGGGTAGTACAAAGTCTAAGAGGTCATCACCAACATGGATGAGTAGGGTGAAGGAAGCTATTGGACAGCAAAAGGCTTCTTTTACAAACTGGAATGTTTTCCCAAACAAGACAAACCAAAACAAATTTGCAGAAAGGAACTGCAAGTGGGCAATCAGGGATGCAAAAAACCATTTTAAGGAACATATTGCGAAAAGCATCAAGACCAACAACAAAGAATTCTTTAAATACATCAGTAGCAGGAAACCATAGGCAGCTGAACCATTGGATGACAAGGAAATTAAAGGGGTACTGAAGGAGGAGGTGATTGTGAAGAAGCTCATCTGTCTTCACCAGTGAAGATACAGGGCAGATAATTCCAAAATTGATATTTTCAGGAGAGGAGGATGTTGAGCTGGGGCAAATAGTAGTGACGGGAGGAAGCTCAAAAACTTGTAGACAAATCACAAACTAACAAATCACCAGGACTAGATTGTATCCATCCTAGAGTTCTTAACTCAAACGTGAAATTGGTTCTTTTAAAATATGCAACATGTCCCTAAGATCAGCCTCTGTACCAAGGACTTACAAATGGCCAATATAACAACACATTTTATAAAGCGATGGGGTAGTTGTCTGGGAAATTACAGGTTGGTTAGTTTAATGTCTGTTCCTGGTAAATATATGGAAAGCATTATTAAAGATAACATTATTAAGCATACAATAGGGCAAGCCCTGCTGAGTAAAAACCAACATGGCTTCCACAAAGGGAAGTCCTGTCTCACTAGCCTTTTAGAGTTCTTTGGAAGTGTCAATAAAAATGTAGACAGGATTTTACTGGTAGATGCTGTGTATTTGGATTTCCAAAAGGCTTTGGACAAGTCCTCTTGTGGCTTGGAAATTGGCTAAAAGACAGGAAGCCGACTAGGAATAAATGGCCAGTCCTTGCAATGGAAGGATGTTAGAAGCAGGATCTCTCAGATCTGTACTGGGACTGGTGCTTTTCAAATTGTTCATAAATGACTTGCAGCTAGGGATGAGTAGTGAGGTGGCTTAGTTTGCAGATGGCACCAAATTATTTAGGGTGGTTAAATCAAAAACAGATTTCAAAGAGCTCCAGAAGGATCTCTCCAAACTTGAGGAATGGCATGAAAATGGCAAATGAGATTCAGTGCAGGGAACTGTAAAGTGAAGCATATTGAGGCGAAAAATCCCAGCTTCATAGGTACCCTGATGGGCTCTGAATTGGCAGTAACAGACCAAGAACAGATCTTGGGGTGGTAGTGGAGAGCTTGATGAAAATGTCAATCTAGTGCATGGCTGCCATGAAAAAGGCAAATTCCATGTTGGCCATAATTAGAAACGGAATAGAGAATAAAACTGCTGCTATCATACTGCCCTTTTACAAATCTATGTTGAGATCACCATTTGGAATACTGTGTACAATTCTGGTCACCGCACCCACAAAAGGATATCGTAGAACTTGAAAAGGTGCAGAAAAGAGTAACCAAAATGATCAGAGGGCTAGAGCAACTGGCATATGAGAATTAGTTAAAATGCTTAAGGATGATTAGCTTAGAACAAAGGCGAGTAAGAGGAGACGCAACAGAAATTATGCATCATGTGGAGAGTGTTCAGAGAGCAGCTTTCCTCCCTTGCATGATATTAGAACTTGGGGTCATCCACTGAAGTTGGAGGGTGGGAGATTCAAGACAGAGAAAAGGAAGTACTACTTTACACAGCATATAAAACTAGAACTTGCTGCTACAGGATGTGATGGCCGCCAACATGGAAGGCTTTAAAAGGGGAGCGGACAACATGGAAGGCTTTAAAAGGGGAGGCTGGGGCCATCAATGGCTACTAGTCATGATGGATATTTGCGCCCTGCCTCTTTATATTAGTTGCTGGGGAGCATGGGTGGGGGGGATGCTGTTGCAGTCATCCTGCTTGTGGGCTTGCTAGAGACAACTGGTCAGCCACTGCAGAAACAGTGGGCCCTTTGTCTGATCCAACATGGCTCTTATTGTTCTTACATTTTGGAATTCTTACATGTACTTTTTCTTTGTTTTCTCTAATTTTACTCTTTTTTGCCATCAAATAACAATTGGTTTATGGTGACCCCAGTAGGGTTTTCAAGGCAAGAGATGTTCAGAGGTGGTTTGCCATTGCCTGCCTCTGGGTAGCACCCCCGATTCCTTGGTGGTCTCCCATCCAAATACTAACCACAGCTGACTCTGCTTAGCTTCAGAAATCTGACAAGATTGGACTATGTAGGTGAAGACACTTTTTGTATGTGTGTGTGTGTGTATTTGTGTTTTGCTTTGTTCTTAATTTGGTAGCCACTTTAAACAGCTGATTAAATTGTCTTACCTAAAGGCTCGAAGCACGTTATCATTTTATATATATATATGTGTGTGTGTG